TTTGAGTTCTGTGAGATTTTTGTTTAGCTCTCTTTTGCTATTGATTTATAATTCTGTTCCTGCATGATAAACCTAACTCTATTGGTTGTTGTGAATTTATTTTGACATCATTTGTCACCAAGTGTATGACCAAGCTTTGTCAATTTCATTTCTTGAAAATAATGAAACATTTCAATTTTGTGTACAGAATTCTCTGTATGTTATATTGACTGGGCTTACTAATTTCATTTCTAAATATCTATTTCTTGTTGTCTTTGAGTTTTGAGACATATGTGTTATAATGGTCTATGATAATATTTGATATATTTGCTTTTGGTTTTCCATAACTGTATCATCAATTAATTTTTGATAATACACCACAATTCTTCAAAAGAAGGGTAGCCTTTTCAACAAATGGTGCTGGAAGAATTAGACATCCACATGCAAAAATAAAAATAAATAAAGTAAATGACACAGAATGGATAAGACCTAAGTGTAAAATCTAAGGCTCTCAATTTCTAGAAGAAAACAAAGGGGACAATTTTTGTGATCTTGGTTCCTGGAAAGGATATTATTACATAATATTATGAGTCACTTAAAAAGTTTCTATTTAGATTTTATCAAAACAATAAATACCTTTTTTTTCAACCACAACCATTGTGCTTCTGAAAATGAAGATAGGCTACATATTGAGAAAAATGTTTTCAAAGTCTGTATATGATAAAAGAATCTGAATCAGAAAACAAGGAAGTCCCCATAACTCAATAATAAGAAAACAAATAGCTCAGTTTTCAAAATGAGCATGGGATGTGAACATATACTTTACCAAGGAATATCTATAAGTAGAAATAAGGAGATGAAAAACAGTCACGTCAGCATCACTAGGCATGAGGGAAAGAAATGTATATTCAAACCGCAAGAAAATACCACGACACACCTGTGAGCATGGCTGAAAGGATATTTAAAAATGAGAAAAAAATTAAGCATTGGTGAGAATGTGGAGGAACTGGAGACCAGCCTTCCCTTCAGTCGCATTGTTGGTCCTTCAGTTTTGCTCTAGGCGCTATAATAACTTACTCCTGACTTTGTGTTCAATATTTCACTATAATGTGCATCTGAGTGATTTTCTTTGAGTTGATTCATCTGGGGTTCACTGCGTTTCTTGAACCTGTGGCATGACATCTTTCAGCAGTCTGGGGACCAGCGGCCCAGTCAAGTTGACATACAATGTGAACCATGGCAGTGCTCATAGGGCCACTCTTCAGCACACATTTGTTTAAAAATGTTGTGCATTGTGCTGCTTTCCATTTTTCAAATGACTTTTACAATAAACGTGATCCATGTTTAAGGTTTTAAGAAATTCTTGAAAGTAGTGCTTCAAGAGATTTAACTGTATAATTTAACAGAACTCTTTTTCACTGTTTTATCTCCACCACTTAATTCAATGCTATAACTATAATGGAATAACTTCTTTCTTCTATTTAGTGAGATAAATTTAGTAATTGGATGCATCTACAACCTTGTCTAATCCTGTCTTACTCCTGCTACATAAACAGCATGAGACATGTTTGCTTAAACAAGTAAAATGACACACTGCCTTTTTTGTATGCTCTTCAAAAGGCACGTGATGTCTCTGAATCCCAATCCAGCTCAGGCGGACATGTGCATAAATTTCTATACATGAAGAGACTATACAAGTACTAATAAAAATAAAATAACTTGATACAAATGAATGGTTTCCTAGTTAACATTAAACAACATTCTTTGGTTTAGTCAGCAATCCCAGACAATAAACGTTTTCTTTAAAGGGATTTTTAACATTCATGGAAGAAATACACATCTCTGAAAAGTACATCACACATGACACACAGAAACTCGGTGAACTTCAAGAATGAAACAAATAGTTGTATATTGTTGTATTATTCTGTCATACATTTATCAAGTGAACATTAAGTACATTACAAAATGTAGAACAGGGTGGTGGATGGTGACGTATGGTTTAAAGGCAAGAACCACAAGAGGGATTGAAATTGTGGTTTGCTCCTGACAGTCCCTGCAGGAAGTCCCTGACTCAGCATGAGGGACACAGAAGGAAGTCAAGGCAGCGTGCAGACAGAGGCAGGAGCTGGCGTCCATGCCTTTATTTGGGTCCAGTGGTGGAGCACTTTGGGGTTCCTGGGCCAAATGCATTTTGGTCAATTAAAATCAGAAGAGTGGGGTTTTGGTAAGTTACATGGGAGCCTCATCTAAAGGGTGCATAAGGGGAAGGCACCTTGAGGTGTGGGAGGCTGTTGAGCGCAGGGGATATTGTAGAACCTTATTGGGTATCTGTACGCACGTGAGGCTTGCAGCTGGCTCTGTGGGCGTGCACCCGCACGGAGGGGCTAGTGTCCGTTGAAAGGTCCTGCAAACTTCTTGACCAAATAAAATGGAGGCCCAGGCAGCAAAACCATGGAGCAGCTAGCTAAGCTTTTGACACTCCCAAGGAATGATTTTGTATATTTCACTGCAATTCTTAGAATTCATGTAATGTAATTGGGATGTATGTTCTTCGTTTTTCTTACTGAATAATTGGTTCTGACTGAGTCAGGAGGAAGGAATACCTGAGAATCTGCTGGCAAAGGGAAGGAGCAATGAGTTCATTACATGAGACAGTGGTTCTGAGGTCGGGGTGCTCTTCATGCATGGCTGGGGGGATGTGATTTGTCTGGCAAGTGGATATTGTTCATGATTTCTGGGGGTTTTTGTGGTATGTTCCCCCTACCAATCCCACATGGAAAAGCAATTGTTTATAGCACGTAGTCAGTGTAGTATATAGAAAAATGAAGGACTTTCCACCTTTCCCAAATTTGGGGAATAGTAGTTGTCGGTTTTCAAATAACTCAACTAATTAACATCAGTGTAGAAACTTATAATATTATCTGCTATTATAGCAATATGGATCATAAGAGTAATTAGCATCAATGCTTAGTAAAGTATATATGGTTTTTCAGAGTTTATGAAGTCTTTTTGTATTTTTAGTTTCAAGATGTGCTCAACCTAGGGTCAGCCCTAGTTAGATAGAAAAAAGATGTTTAAATTATTTTATTCATTCAGGATTGTCATTTTTGTATTAAAGATACCAGAATGTGGCTTTTGAAGAGATGAGAATTCAGTAAAAATTAAAACACCACAGAGCACAACTATACTATTTACCTGATAATGATTTGGGTAAGAGAGACATACCTCATTAAACATGCTTTCCCAGATGTTTGTTGCTTTGCACCAGTCCTTCATACTCTGGGGCTAGTGAGAGAAGGAAGGTACACTTTAGGATTTGGTATTGGTTTTATCCTCCATACTGTGTGCTGTCTTTTTATTCTTCCTATCTTGGGTCATTAACACCAGCCATGTGACTTTGTTAAGCAGAAAAATGGCACCAAAATGTGTCCACTTTCTAATCCCCAGAATCTGTGAATATGTAATTTCATTTGGCAGAAGGGATTTTACAGAAATAATGGAGGATGTGGACCTTGTGTTGGTGGTATTATCTGGATTCCTGTGTGGGCCCAGTCCAAGCAAATGAGGCCTGCAAAGGGGAGAACTTGCCCAGCTGAGTCTGAGAGGAGACGGAAGAAGCAAGAGCAGAGATGGGAGGCTTGAGAGAGACTTGCCCCGTTGCTGTTGGCTTTGAAGGTAGAGGAAGGGGGACCGTGATCCAGGGTCTGCAGCTCCTTCTAGAAACCAGGAAACGGCCCTTGCTGGATAGTCAGCAAGGAAGCAGAACCTGGGTGCCAGCTGTCCAGGAGGCGGAATTCTGCCAGCAGCCCGCATGAGTAGGGTCCCTATGGGCCCCCAGAACGGAATGTAGCCTGGTGAGGCCGCTGTTGGAATTCTGACCTGCAGAGCTGTCACATACTTTCATTGTTTTAAGTTTCTAAGTCTGTTGTGGCAGCAACTGTAAACTAACATAGCAACTTCCAGAATCCTCCCTTATATGACACATTCATGCCTCGTGGCGTTGCAGTTTCTTCCTTTGATCTTTAAAACCTTTGTCCTCTGCACTTACCTATGATGAACTGTGCTAAATTAAAATATTCTGACCCCATTCTAAGGCAGCACTTTCTCTAACTGTTGTTGTCCCAGGATATATTCCATGTTAGTTATTAAATCCTCTGCTTTGTCCAGTGTCCATGTAGATAGAGGTCAACGAGCAAACAAGTAGTGACCTTTTTGATCTCAGAGATGTCTATTGTCTCCCTTTTCGTATGCTTCCTTTTAGGGGGCCTTGTTTAATGGCTACATGGAGAGAGGTCATTAAACTCTTTCCCATCCCTTTCCTCTTAGGAACAAGTAAATCAGGAGAGAACTCCTCATTTCAGTTGGAAGAATCGTATCTACCTTCAAGAAATTTGGATTTGAACTCATATAATTTTAAATATATTTCCATATACTTTCCATATATGTCAGTATACTGTACAACCCTGGGCTATGTTACTCCTCTTGTTTGTTCTAGTTGTTATTGTTTTCTTAATCTTATTTTGATTGACAGTACTTAGCTGTTTGGCATGAAGTCCATCACCTTCAATCAAATGAAGAGCTCCAGTGAGAAAATTTCACATTTTATTACATGTGGTTGTGTGGTAGCATCCACTTAAGACAATTGTGGTTAAGTGTACAAAAACCAAAAGAAAAAAGAAAAGCACAAACTATCTTCCCCACTGTGGACATGAGAAAGCTAAGGTGCAGACAAAGTGTCATCTGATAAAAACAGGAAAGAACCAGGGTTGAACTTCAGGTTTTCTGATGTTAGTTCAGCTTTTTTCATTAATGCATGATAACTCTGTGTGTGTGAAGGTCCAAAAACTGAGTTCAGAACATGTTATTTTCTCTAGGGCTGAATTTCACCCTTGCACTCTGACTACAATACTTTGTGTCTCATGTGATATGGAACTTTTTCATCCCTTACCATGTATCTTTGATGCATGCCTTGTGTACATTCAGTCCAAGTGTTAAAATGACGCATTCTTAGCAAGCAAACTTTAAGTTTTCCTGTGCAATAAGGACATAATTTTGTTGACAGCTTCTCTCCAAACTTCCTTCACCTTTTCATTCCTCAGACTATAGATGAAGGGGTTCAGAAGAGGATTCACCACCATGGTGAGGACAGATGTCACTTTGTCAAAATCCAGTGACTGGTTCTGGCTGGGCCTCACGTACATAAAGATGCTGCTCCCGTAGGCGATGGAGAGAACAGTGATGTGAGAAGCACAGGTGGAGAAGGCCTTCCGACGTCCCTGGGCTGACGGGATGCGCAGGATGGTAGAGATGATGTAGGTGTAGGACACAGTGGTGAGCAGCAGTGAGGTCAGGAGGACTAAGGTGGATGATATGAAGCTTAACATCTCTATGAAATGAGTGTCGATGCAGGCCACGTGGAGCAGAGGGGCCAGGTCACAGAAGAAGTGCTTAATTTCCTTATAACAAAAAGGCAGTCTCGCCACCACAATTGTTGGGCAGAGCATTGACAGGAAGGCCCCCACCCAGCATCCCAGAACCAGCAGGACACAGACCCTGCTGTTCATGATGACAGTGTAGTGCAGGGGTTTATGGATGGCCACGTAGCGGTCATAGGACATCACTGCCAAGAGGATAAACTCCACAGTTGCCAAGAAAAATACAAAGTACATTTGGGTCATGCAGCCAGCCAAAGATATGTCATTCCTGCCTTCTAGGAGAGAGGCTAGCAACTTTGGGCTGACTGAGGTCGGGTATAAAATGTCCAAACATGACAAGTTACTGAGGAAGAAGTACATGGGGGTTTGGAGGCGGTTATCAGCCCATATGAGGGAAATGATGACCGTATTTCCTGTTAGCGTGAGCGTGTACGTGAGCAGGAGGACCACGAAGAGGGAGACCTGAAGCCTGTGGAGAGCAGGGAAGGCGGTCAGGGTAAATTCAGTCACTGCGGTGCCGTTGTGCGTGTCCATTGCAGGCGAAGCTTAGTTGGCAGCCTGTCTCTGAAAAAATAATAAAATATAGAGATGAAAATCAGCTGAAAATGAATTTGAGCTCTCATTATGAATGATAAGGTGATATAGAAAATGCTTTGAGTAAAGAGGAAGACCGATATATTTTCATCCTGCCACTTGACCCCAATACATGTGGGACTGAGTATAATTTCATGACTTCTAACCTCAGTATTCTCACCTTTAAAATCTTTGGTAGAATGAAGTTTTCTCCATGGTCTCACGAAACTCTAGTCTTTATGACTTTATTCATTTTACCCAATTTCATACATTATATTCTTTGCAGTGGTTTGAAGACCAGTCATTAATAGAAATGCACAAAAGTGGGTGCAGAGAGATTGTGTTTGAAATGCTCTGCTTAATCTTAGAATACTGCTCCACTTTGTGAACATCCGTTGCAAATCTATGTTTTCAGTTGAAACACTGTCATTTCTCGTATTATTTTTGGCTAATCTTGTCGTTTTCAGTTAAAAAGACCAATTTATGAACCCAGAGCTAGTTCTTTCTAGGCTTGGAGCCCACCCAGGTGTTTTCACAGCAGGATTCTTTACTCAGGATCTCTCCCTGGGAAGTATCTCCCTGCATTTTTTTTAAGATTTTTATTTATTTATTTTTGCTTATCAGATTTCCATCTTTAATGTTGACTAGCTTCTTGATTCCCTGTAATTTCCTCATGATTTCTATTCACCATTCATGCATTCCATGAATCAAATGATCTCTTTTATATTAATAGTAAGGGCTTTCTTCACCTCTGTGTTCTAGATAAGGAAATACTGTTGCTTAGTAGTATTTGACATTTCTTGGTGTTTGTAAGCAATCAAAATGCCTAGTAATTTCTACCCATCTAAGAGTGATTTTTCAAATATAATTGGAGTGAATAGCTTGGCTTGTTGGTGAATTTCAGAACAAAGCCCTTTTGGCTTTCTCTTCAATCCTTGGCACATGTTTCTACATCTATTGAAGGAGTGCATTGGTCATGTAGATATTCCTTTCCGGTCTTTTCTTGTTTTCCATGAAGGCAGGCACCCTGTTTACTTAATCCTCCACTTTTTGAGCACAAAAGGTGCTCATGTATTTCCTATATATTGAAACAGAAGTGATCAATCATAGGGTTGCAGCTACACCAAGATAAGCAATGGTAAACTCTGTAGTTTGCATTTTCATGTATCAAATGGAGACTCTTATCAAAACATATACCTTCTTGGTGTGTGGTTAGGATCTATGTAGTTCTGGATAACTGACTAGCGCAATATTAATGCTGGTTTGGGGAAGGAATGCAAACACTATATACCTAATAGATCAAATCTTTCAGGATGGGGAGGGTCTCAGGAAGGGCGAAGTCTAGGATAAAACACAGCAGCTTACAATAGCACGGGGATGTTTTTCCATTTCTAGTAGTAACCTCCCAAACTGTTACAAGGAAGTTTGCTTAATCTTGTTACCAAAGGCTGCCAAAGGGTCTCATCCATTGAAATAGCACCTTAGTAACGATAGGAGCTCTTTCCACTGTAACTATTCTAATATTCACTCCTTCTCCCATTGCTCCTCCACCCAGAAAAACATGCTTCCAAAGTGTTTCCCACCACACAAATAGGCATAACCCTGTCTGGTGGACAATATCTATGTTATGGAGATCTAATGTGAACATAGAATTTAGCACACAGTTTAGACACCTAGAAATGCTTAAAATGGCCACTGGGTTCTTCTCCCCTTTCATTACTGTCAAGACAGGAGATTAATTTTTCTTCCTACCATTTCTCAAGATCCTTTAAAAATTGCATAAAATCACACATTTCCATATTTTAAGATTCCCGATTTAGTCAGAAAAATGAGGAATAATGGAAAAGGTATAACCGTTTGTGGAATCAATGAACCTGCCTTGTATTTCTTGTTGGCCATTATAGCTTTGTGATCTCTAGCAAGACTCTGAAGCATTCTAAGTCTTTCTCATCTTCTGAAGGAGTGGAGTCATCAAGCCAGAAGCAAGGTCCTAAGATAGAGCCTAACTCAGTGTTGTCTGTGTACTTGATGTTCAACAAGGGTTTGTTAACCACATAGGGCTGGAGGAGGGTGAGCAGAAAAGGACCAAAATGTGGCAGGGGGTGTAGATTAGTGATGGTAATTTGAGATCCTTGCTGCTATCAGTAAAATGTGAAGAAGTTTCATTGTAACCGAAGTGCATTAAGCACTTTCATTTACATACCTGTGGTAAAGCTGTAAGACTTGACATCTGCACTCACTAAAATTTTTGGCAGAGGGGTAATTATACTTTAATTATAAAATATACCTGTAAACAAATATTAAATCTCAGACTGCTTACCGTATAAATATGGATAATATGGAAAATTACATAATAAAGTGTACTTACATCATACCGATTGTAGAACAGCTGGTATTTTCTTCATTTAAAATTGTTAAGAAACCCGAAGTTTGGGTATTTGTTTTTTCCTACTGCTTTCCATCCATTTTTCTTTAATTCTGTTATTGCTTCAATTCTGATTATGTATATATCTCTCTCAGATTCAACGGTCACTCTTCCAAATAGTATAGTTAATCCTATTCAAAACCACACCACATTCATGTTCGATTTTTGCTTAAGTATGTCATTTTCTTTCCTTTGAATGAAAGGCTCTCTATAATCCCTGACTACATTTCCAAGGCTTTTTTCAGATTACCCCAGAAAAAGTCTAAATGTTGACTTACACTAGGAGTAAGTTCAAGTGTTATACTATCTTTAAGTAATTTATTTTACAATCCAGTGTATCCCAATTTCTGATATTTCTCCTAGTTTCAAGTAACATGTATTCTGAACCACATTTTTGCCAAAGAAGGCCCAGTGATTAGGTGTGGTGATGAATCAAGAAGTCATACAACTGAATTAAGAGCCGGTCCTCTGGCTTCTATTGTAGATTTTGGCAAAAATGAAAACTCTCCAAATCCTAGATTTTTTTTTTCATTGTAATTTCATATGTAATTTTCATATGTAATTTCATGTCTCCTCAGGGATTTTCTATTTCTTCTGCAAGTCTATCCAGAAACATGGAATTATTCAAAACCACAGAGTGTTAGATTAGAATAGGATTTAAGGGCATATGAGCCAGCCTGGCTCTAAAATAGTCTGCAATTTCTCCACCACATTTCTGTCCAGCGATGGGAAACTTCACTATTTCTTGAGGTCCATCATTCTACTTTAACAGCATGATTATTAGAAAAATTTGCATTTACATTCACTGAAATAGGTCTCTAAACTTTCACCATTTGGTTAAATCCCTCCTCTTCGTTCATCACACATAGTGTGACTTGATTTCGGATATATCTACCTTGTTTGCTTTGTCCAGAAAAAAACTAATACCTTGCCTATGTTAAAGTGACTACAATTGGATAAAGTGTGATGTTAAATGATTTTTTTTTGCTCACCTTTAGAGACTGATTTAGAATAGCACTTGGGACTGTGGTATAAAAAGAGGTTAATTATTATTATTGTATCCATGGAATTTTAGAACTGAAGTAACTAATCACATTTATAAACTTAATGTCTCCTGGGGAACTCTCTTGGGTGCTTATTTTATTTAAAGAAAAAGTTCCAGTACTGCTTTAAAGTCTCAGGGAAGTAGAAACTTGGAGAACTTACAAAATGTATTTTCTGAAATGTTCATAATGTATTGAAATAAGCTGTTAGGTGCTTTCCAAACTGAGATATTTACGTAGATCTATCTATCTATCTATCTATCTATATTTATGTACATCAAAAAATTCATTTTATTGAGCAGTGATTTGCATACAAAAGACAATTATTTACTATGCTGAGTTTTGAGAAATATATATAGTCATGTAGCCACCAACACTCTAAAAATGGTTTAAAATATTTCCATTATCTAAGAATATTTCCATGTGCCCTTTTGTGGTACATGCCAACCTCTCTCTACCTAGCCCCTTACAACCAGTCATTTGTTTTCTGTCAGCCTAATTTTGAATTCTCTATAGTTTCAAGTAAATGTAATCTCACAGTATGCAGTCTTTTGTATTCATTTTCTTTCACTTAATCAGGGGCTCTGAGTTTAATCCAGGTGTTTCAAGTATGAGTCTGTGCATTACTCACTGTTATCTATTATAGAGATTCTATGGATATATCACCATGTGTTTGCCCATTCACGTAATAATGGACACTTGAATTTTCATATTATGAGTAAGCTTCTGTGAACATTTGAGTTCTTGTTGTTTAGTGAATATTTGTTTTCATTTCTCTTGGATACATTTCTGGGGGGATAAATACTACATTTTATGTAAGTACATGTTTTACTATGTAAGAAACTGTCAAGGTGTCCTCCAAGGTCGTTTGCCATTTCTTGCATGTTAGTATGAGGTGAGAGTCCTATAGTCCCACATCCATGCTAACATTTGGTATTGTCAGGCTTTTAAATGTTAGCATTCTAGTGCATGTACAGTGGAATCATCTAATTAATTTTAATTTTTTTCTTCACTGATGTATAATTGAGAAATAAATAGATGCTTAAAATGTACAGTGTTGTTATGTGTCACAAACATTTTGTGTAATATTTATCTCAACCATGTTGACACATCCTTCACTTCTTATTTTTACCGATTTGATTTATTTATTTTGGTGAGAATGCTTAAAGTCTACTTTCTTAGCAAATTCAAGCACGCAGTATAGTATTTACTGAAGTTTCCATGCTGTACATTAGATTCCCCAGAGCTCTTTCATCTTACAATTGCAAGTTTGTAGCCTTTGACTAGCACCTCTCCATTTCCCTATTCTTGAGTCCTGATAACCACCCTTCTACTTTCTGTAAGTTTAACTTTTTATGATTCCATATGTAGGTGAGATCATACAGTATTTTTCTTCCTCCTTCTGGCTAATTTCACTTAGCATAATGTCCTCCGGGTTCATCTACATTGTTGTAAATGTCAAGATTTCCTTTTTAAAGTTGGAATAGTATCCATTGTATATCTACTACATGTTCTTTATCCAT